GGGTATACTTCGTTCAGTTACGTATAAAGTTGTGCCTTTTGCTATTTGCACTGAATTTTTGGCATTTTATTTTTCCCGGTTTCCATGGAAACGATTCAGACTCGAGTCCCAGAAGGAAGTGAGCGGTGAGCACCTTCGTTTTCCGGAGCTGGCCTCGAAACTTCTCAATGTCTTTCAGCAAAACTTGGCAGATGTCTTAAGGAGGCAGATCCCAAAGTGGGCCTTTTGCTATTTACAGATTTTTAGCATTTTTACTTTTCCGGTTTCCGCATGGAAAGATTCGGACTTAGTTGCAAAGAAGTGGGGGTGGAAGCTTCGTTTTCGGGCATAACTCAAGAACCGTTCAATATTTTCAACAAAACTTGGTAGATGTATGAAACAGATCCTTAAGTGGTGCTTTTTGCTATTTGCAGATTTTGTCATTTTATTTTTTTTCCGGTATCCATGGAAGCATTTTGGACTTAGTCTCAAAGTAAGTGAGTTGCTTTCGTTTCCGGAGCCAACTCAAAACAAGTAAAATATTTTTTTTCAACAAAACTTGGTAGATATCAAACTTACATCCTAAAGTTGTGCCTTTTGCTGTTGCAGATTTTTGGCGTTTATTTTTCCCGGTTTCCTTTGGAAACAATTAGGACTTAGTCCAAAAAGTGAGGGTGGGCCTTCGTTCCGGGCACAACTAAAAACCTCACTCTCTTCACAAAACTTGGCCAGATGTAATATGAGGCAAGATCCCAAAGTGGTGCCTTTTTACTGTTGCAGATTTTGGGTATTTTATTTTCAGCAACTTCGCTTGGAACAGATCGGACTTAGTCCCAAAAGTGAGGGTGGGCTTCGTCGTTCCGGGCGTAACTCAAAAGAACCGTTTCCGTGGCGTTTAGCAGAGCGAGCTTGGTAGATATATCAAATAGATCCTAAGAGTTGTGCCTTTTGCCACGCGCTATTTGCAGATTTTGGGTATTTTTATTTTTCCCGGAACTTTTCCATAGAGCAGATCGGACTTAGTCCCAAAAAGAGTGAGCCAGTGGAAACCGTTTCCGGAGCATAACTCATTAACCGTTCAATATTTTTTCAACAAAACTTGAGTAGATATATCAAACAGATTCCTAAATGCCTATGCCTTTTGCTATTTGCAAGAATTTGGACATTTTATTTTTTCCTGTTTCACAACGAAGCTTCAAAATGGAGGGGAGTAGACTTTTTTGTTTCTGAGCACTCCTCAAAAACACTTTCCATATAGTAACCAAAGGGCTGAGGTGGTGCCTTTCACTATTTTGGAAGTATTACCACAGGATAAGCACTATAATATGGTTCCCTTTACTATTTTTTATTCAGGTTTACTTATAAATGTGTTTAAAGAAAATAAACATTTTAATCAGCGGTTTATGTTGTTTCTTTTTGTAAGACTTATTTATTACCATGGGATAAGCATTAGAGTTTACAAGCGTCATCTACATATCTACTACTTTTTGATATATGTGCCAGCCTTTAGCAAATGTCAAAATAAGCCTGTTCTTACACCAATGCATAAACGGCCATCAAGAAGTAGCCTAACTTCCACGCATGATGAGTGCCGGTAACATGGTTAGCAAGGATGAAATATTAAGGTGATTCATAATTTTTCAATATTTTGGGTGTGATCCTCTTCAATGATATATTGGTAAATTGGTTGAGATTGTTGTGTAATCATGCATTAAATGTGCACTTCTCAAATCATGTCTTTATTGTCCTCTAGTCACGCATCCATCCCTCAATATCTTATGTGAACCTTAGCACTTAACCCAGCTAGATACTCCCAATCACTGTCAACCCTTATACTCCCTAATTGTATAAAGCATACTTTTATGCTTTTTAATAATATGCTTGTATGCGAGAAATTCTTTGCTTTTGCCTAAAGCTAAAGGGCTACAACTAACATTTGCATGTTTTGTCTCATCAGATACCTCTAGAAGCATGTTTTAATATTCGTTAGAACACTACCCAGATCTTTTTGAACTTCTGTCCACTGTGTAGCTGTTTGCCATTTTGGCTCTAAAATCAATAACATGACTCCTGGCTACTTATTCCATAATTTGTGTACAATTAATAATTTGACATTTTAAACATTTTTTCAAGAGTGAATGTCCAGTGATTGAATTTTCAAAATACTTCACTAAACATATTTTCTAATTCTGCATGTGTATGTTCCTCGACAGCTACCTCTACCAGCATGTTTTCCTTGTAGAGTGAGGGAACCTGTTTCACCCTGTCTTATTGAGTAGTGTTGCACTAAACTTCTGATACCTTATCCGCTATGAATCTACGGATCTCCAGCATTTTAGATTGGGAAATTGATAATTTGATATCTTTTTTTAAAACTTTGGAAATGAAGTTTTAATCTTATCAATCTATTTGTATTCAGTGTTATTCTCAGAATCATATGTTATTATTTTGCCGACGTGTTTACAGAGTAGCAATAGGTTGTTTTCTCATGGTCCCTGGTGACCACATCTGGGAAGGTCATGTCTTGTTTCTGATAACAACTCTCAACAGTCTTTGCATTATTGTGCTTGGTGCCACGTGGAAGAGAAACCTGAAAGCTGGCCAAAGATGATTCTCTTGTGTGTTTGCAGTTGGGTGATAGTGATTTTGTCAGGGTGGGCATCCATCAGATGTGCCATGTTTTACTGTTTACTTCCTTATGATTTGAAATAGCATGCAAATAGAAACCCAACCTTGTTTAGATCAAAACAGGTGACATTGCATCTGCATAATATCATGTTGGTATGTTTCTGCGTCAGAGTCTGACGTTTTTTACAGTATTTCTCCTTCTTTTTCACACACAATTTCTTCCAGTCTCATTGCTTTCCACAGAAATCAATCCCAATTCAACCCAAAATGACCAAGTCATTTTTGGCATTGTGAGTATGGATGTCAGCTAAGCGCATTTCTTTTTTTGCAGAGGTACATCTAGGGATATCATGGATTCGCAATCATCCAACAATACACCAAACGAAAGATCAATGAGAGAGACAGGAGAGTCTCTAGAGACTCACCCAAATTACAAGGCTCCTGCCAATCTCCCATGAGCAGCCGGCTAAGGGTTCCCAGGTTGTCAAGCCCTAACATCTTGATAAATCTCTCCACTCTAAGGTGGCATCTGCTTTGGACGATGGTAGATGTCTCATTGAGTGCTGGACTATATAAGTTATCTCTCAGAACCAATCATGCAGATGCACACCAACATCTTGGAAGATGTTCTGATCAGTTATCAACTATAAGGGGGAAGCAGTTCAGCACAGACATGATGTCGAGCTCAAGACCAGTTCTCTCATGCCTTCAGCTGAAGGGAGTTGGAATTGTTCTCTCTCAAAGAATAATTGGGCTTGAATGTACACAGGCTTTCCTCGCGAAACAACTTGCAGAAGAAGGGCTGACGGATTATGATTCTGATGACATGGCTCTGTTGTCAGTGTCAATGAGTGATAATGACCACCAGCTGCTACAGCTACATCACTAGCTGCTAACAAGCTTCTTCGGATGCTAAACAAGCACCAGCTGATAATGATGATTAGATTTTATTGTTGTTACACTCCCATCATCATCCTTGTATTGTGACGAGTTAGAGTCACCAAACAGTCTTCCATGTTCTTCTTCCTTTCTTTTTAACTTAGTGATCCTAGTTTTGCTATTTTCATTTGCGTGTGCTTTTCATTACAAGAAAGCTGTAGGGACACAAATATCATGTCTCAAGTTGGTTTTGTGGGCTTACTAGCAATGTGTAGGTTTACTTTTTGTATGTATTGAAATAAAGACACATTCTTTTTTTTTTTTTTTTTAGGTTGCACTTGTCAACAGTAGTACAACCAGATCTAGCAGAATATCAACCACATACTAAGGTACTGCATCTTGCATGGAAACATTTTTGTAACAGAGATCATATCTCTCACTTTCTTTTTGCTTAAGACATTTCTGCTTTGAATTCTTGTTTTCTTTGCTACAATTCACAGAAGTTAATCTCTTAAGACAGGATGCCATCAAAGAAAGGATCAAGAAACTGAGGGATCGACAGAGGAAGAAATCTACCTCATCTCATCTACCCAGTCTACCACAGCTACCAGGCCCTACACGTCAACCACACCTACCAGGCCTGACCGGTCAAGCCACCTGCCAGGCCTGACCAGTCAGCCACACCTGCACCAGGCCTGCAGTCAGCCAGTCCACCTGCCACACCCAGGCCTGACCGGTCCAGCCACCACCACAGCCTGACAGCCGGTCAGCTTACACACCTGCCAGGCCTGCCCAGTCAGCCCCCACACCTACCACCAGGCCTACCAAGAGTCAGCCACACCTACCCAAGCCTGACCAAGTCAGCCACACCTACCAAGTTAGCAGCACCTGCCAGCTACCCGAAGTCCAGCCCAGCCACCTGCCAGGCCCTGCAGTCAGCCACACCTACTGAGCCTACCCGGTCCAGCCACACCTACCGGGCCTTGCAGAGTCAGCCACATCTACCAGGACTACCCAGTCAGCCACACCTACCAGATCTGCCAAGTCAGCCACACTCTGCCTGGGGTCTACCAGAGTCAGCCACACCTGCCAGGCCCTAGCAAGTCAGCCACACCTGCCAAGCCTGACCACAGAGTCAGCCACCTACCAGAGTCAGCAACACCTACCAGCCCTACCCAGTCAGCCACACCTGCCGGGCCTGCCCAGTCAGCCCACCTGCAGAGCCTGCCCGGTCAGCCCACACCTGCCCGGGCCCTAGCAAGTCCAGCCACACCTACCAAGCCTGACCAGTCAGCCACACCTACCGGGCCTGCACGGTCAAGCCACACCTACCAGGCCTAGGCAGAGTCAACCACACCACACCTGACCAAGCCTGCCCAGTCAGCCCACACCCACACCACACCTACCAGGCCTACCCAGGCAGCCTAGTCAACCACACCTACCACCTCCAGCCACCAAGCCTGACCAGTCAGCCACACCTACCAGGCTGCACACAAGTCAGCCACACCTGCAGGGCCTAGCAGAGTCAGCCACACCTACCAGAGTCAACCACACCTACCAGAGTCAGCCTGCCTACCCAGTCAGCCACACCTGCCAAGTCCAAGCAAGCACTTACCAGGCCACTGGCAAAGTCAAGCACACCTACCAGGCCTGCTTAGGTCAGCCACACCTACCAGGCCTACCCAGTCAGCCACACCTGCCAGGCCTAGCAAGGTCAGCCACACCCTTACCAAGGTCAGCCACACCTACCAGTCAACCACACCTACCAGGCCTACCCAAGTCAGCCACACCTACCTGAGGCCTAGCAGGTCAGCCACACCTACGAGAGCCTGCCCAGTCAGCCACACCTACCAGGCCCTGGCAAGTCAGCCATCCACCAGGCCTGCCCAGTCAGCCACACCTACCAGGCCTACACAGTCAGCCATACCTACCAGGCCTAGCAAGTCAGCCACACCTACCAGGGCCTACCAGGCCTGCTCAGTCAACCACACATGCCAGGCCCTAGCAGAGTCCAGCCCACACCTACCGGGGCCTGCACCCAGTCAACCACACCTACCAGGCCTACCAAGTCAGCCAAACCTACCAAGCCTGACCAGTCAGCCACACCTACAGGCCTACCCCGGTCAGCCACACCTGCCAGGCCTGCCCAGTCCCAGCCACACCTACTAGGCCTGCCCAATTAGCCACACCTACCAAGCCTGTTAAAGTCAAGCCACCCACCAGGGCCTGCCCAGTCAGCCACACCTACCAGGCTTGCCCAGTCAGCCACACCTACCAGGCCTGACCCAGTCAGCCCACATCTGCCAGGCCCTGCCCAGTCAGCCACACACCTACCAAGCCTGACCAGTCCAGCCACACCTACCAGGGCCTAGCAAGACAGCCACACACCTACCAAGCCTACCCAGTCAGCCACACCCTACCAGGCCTAGCAAGTCAGCCACACACCTACCAAGTCCAAGCCACACCTGCCAGGCCTGCCCAGTCAGCCACACCTACCAGGCTTAGCAAGTCAGCCACACCTACCAAGCCTGCCCAGTCAGCCACACCTACCAGGCCTAGCAAGTCAGCCCACACCTACCAGAGTCAGCCACACCTACCAGGCCTGCCCAGTCAACCACACCTACCAAGCCTATGCAAGTCAGCCACACCTAGCAAGTCAACCCACACACCTACCAGGGGCCTAGCAGTCCAGCCACACCTAGCAAGTCAGCCACACCTGCCAGGCCTAGCAAGTCCAGCCTCACCTACCAGGCCTACCCAATTAACCACACCTACCAAGCCTGCCAAGCCAGCCACACCTACCAGGCCTGCAGTCAGCCACACCTACCAGGCTTACCAAGTCAACCACACCTACCAAGTCTGACCAGTCAGCCACATCTACCAGGCCTACCCAGTCAGCCACACCTACCAAGCCTACCAAATCAGCCACATCTACCAGCCCTACCAGAGTCAGCCACACCTACCAGGCCTACCCGTCGACTTGGTCTGCAGATCTCATCATCTACCATAAGCAGCCCATCTTCATCTATCCTGTCTGCACAAGCCAGGCTTGTGAGGCACAGCGAGATACCTCCTCAACTTCTGTGGGTGTGTACATATGTTTCCCAACCCTTTTTTACCCCACCTCCATGCTCTGAGTGGTAGAGAACTTCTGCCTGGGGAATGAAAGATGAGGGATTTGATCCCTGACTGCGTCATACTGCCATAAGGCGTTAAAAGATGGTACTTGTGGTTATCCTGCCTGGTATCTGACGATAGGTGGATAAGAAAAAGTTCTGGAGCAACTCAGTATACTGTGTCTGAGTTGGTTATTACGTATCAAAACATCACCATGAGTATCTCGGTTGATGTATTGGTTTTACTTTGAAGTAATACAAGCACCATGCATACAGGTCACTATATAACTGTAATAATCTTGAATGAAATCTTAAGAGCCCACTCTCACTGCCACAATACTTTTTGTCCCAGTCAATAATCTAGTACACTTTATTTTTCTACCGATTTCACAATTAATGTAATGTTTGTATTCCCATGCTACTGATATGCAGATAACTGTATATAACTTTACAACTATTAAGTGTGTAAGCAAAGAGTGGATTTGTTTATGGTTTTACATCACTAACATGGCTTAAGTGTATTTTTATATAATTTATTTTCTATTTACCCACAGAACCCAGGTGTACATAGGGAATCCTTCAGTCACCTGAACCCGGACGAAATCCTGCAGGGGTATGGTCAGCATTGACACAGTGGACTATGTGACTCAGCTCTTAAATGCACAGTTCCTCACATCAAGACAGTATCGGCCATCCTGCCTCTATTCACTGAGCCTAAAGAGCAGCAGCAACATGAAAAAAGGTTCCTAGACATATGCGGATTATGTGCAGATACACTTTTCTAATGGTCACTATCTCGTCTCTTCTCAAAAGATGGAGAACTGCTTGTATATGACAGTATGGAAAACAGAACAACATGTTTATTCACTTTGTGCACAATTAGAGTTGCTCTATGGACATATTAATCCTGCTCAGGTTCTTTACAAAGTGCCTCAATTACAGGGCAATACAAACTTGTGTTGTGCCATGTTTGCAACTTCAAATGCCTTGACTTGCACTGTTGATGGGCGGTGATCCCATGAACCACAGATGGGACAAAGCATCTCATGAGAACACATCTGAGAGACTGTTTGATAGATGGGCAAATTAGGCCCTTCCCTCTGGAAACATACAATAATCGTCCTTTTATAACTGAAGAACCAGCAGAAGGTGTCTCTTTGATCAGTTATTTTAGGGACCAGGAACTGCTTCAGACAAAAGAAATCAATGCTTACCCAAGTATCACTATGTGATCCAGAGAAAAAAACAACAACAGATAAGCAAAGCAGTAAAAGAAAAGAGACTTGATAATGAAGGTATCGGCAGAAACAAACTCAGAAAGAAACACAAGAAGAGAAGAAATAAAAGAATTGATTTTGTCTATAAACAAAAAGAACTTGACAGAGAAGAGGAAGGAAACGAAGAGAACCAATCCAGCTTACAGACGCCAACAAGCTGAAAGAGAAACTGAAGGGAGGGATCGAAGAAGGGGCAGTCATCCGACACAGAAGCCAAGCTGAAAGAGAAACAGAAGAAAGCGAAAAGAACCAATCCAGCTTACAGGCGTAAAGAAGCTGAAGAGAAACAGAAGAAAAACGAAAGAACAGATCCAGCTTACAGACACCAGAAACTGAAAGAGAAACAAAGGGAGGATAGAAAGAGAACCAATCCAGCTTACAGGCGCCAAAGAAGCTGAAAGGGAAACAGAAGGAAGGAAACGAAGAGAACCGATCTGAAAAGCACAGACACCAAGAAACTGAAAGAAGAAACAAAAGGGAGGATGAGAAAAGAGAACCGATCCGGCACAGAGGCGTAACAAGCTGGAAAGAGAAACAGAAGGAAGGAAGCGAAGAGAACCAATCCAGCTTACAGGCGTAACAAGCTGAAAGAGAAATAAAAGGAGAATAGAAAAGAGAACCGATCCGGCTTACAGACACCAAGAAGCTGAAGAGAAACAGAAGAAAGGAAACGAAAGAGAACCAATCCAACACAGACACCAGGAAGCTGAAAGGGAAACAGAAGGAAGGAAGCGAAAGAGAACCGATCTGACACGACACCAACAAGGAAGAGAAACAGAAGAAAGGACCGCGAAAAAGAACCAATCCCGCTTACAGACACCAAGAAGCTGAAAGGGAAACAGAAGGAAGGAAGCGAAAGAGAACCGATCTAGGCTTACAGACACCAAGAAGCTGAAAGAGAAACACCAACAAAGAGAACAAGCGTGAGTACAGATTTGCTTTTCGTTAAGGAATTGAAAGACAGAGAGAAACAAAGATAAAAGAGCTAGGAGAGCTTTAGACAAGAACTTTAGAGCGTTGGAGCTGGCTCATGATAGATCTGCCAGGAGACAAAGGCGACAAAATGCTGAAGTTAGGCAGCAAGAACGAGTTCAGGAAAAATATCAAAGAAAAAGAACAGATCTCCTGGAACTCTGAGATCAACTTGTTCAGTCTTTTCACAAAGAAGTTTCACAAGGTCCAACATATATCTGTTCATGTTGTGAACAACTTTGGTATAGGAATTCTGTGGTCCTGGCAGCAGCATCAGTAAGTTCATTGCCCATGGCAGAAACTGTCTCAGAGGAGTACTCAGTGAAAAGGCAAGAGTGGATCTGCAACACATGCAGGAAACATATTAAAGCCAATAAGATCCCTCCATATGTGCCATAGTAAATGACATGGCATTTCCTGATATTCCTCCAGAACTCCAAGGACTCCATTACCGGCTTGAACTACGACTGAGTGGCTCCCAGAATTCCCTTTATGAAGATCTTTCAGGCACCTCGAGGGCGTCAATTTAAGGTCCATGGGAATATTGTCAATGTGCCTTCCAATGTTGTTCAGACAGTTTCTACTTTGCCACGACTCCAAAATCAAGATGGCACTATTATAAAGTGAAACTGAAGAGAAGACTTGCTTATAACTCAGCTGTTGTCAAGCGAGAACATAAGGCCACACAAAGTCATGGGGGCTGCAAAATGGCTTGTAGAAAACAGTCCTTTGTACAAGAGAGAAAACATCACCCTTGATGACAATTGGACCTACCAGCCCACAGAGGTTGAAGCTGAAGATGACAGTGGTAATTCTACTCTTGGTTCACAAGCATGAACAGATTGTCACATCAAATAAAATATTCAACAAAACAGATACTCTCACTCCCAATGATCTGTCAGAGAAAGAACAGCCTCTCTAATCTACTTCAGGATGACTGGAATGAAGTGACTGACACTGACATCCATGGGGAAAACTGACACAATGCTTACTGACCCAAAATTTTGTGGAAGCTGATGAAGAGACAATATTTGGTGTTTTGCTCCTGCAGTATAGTCAACCTGTGTCAGTTTTTAAAGATCCATATTAGAAGAACTTGCATTCCCTGGGATATTCTGTGGTCAGCCCAGAAGGTACTAAAGAGACAGACTAATATCTACTATAGTGAAATAGTAAAGTCTGAGTTCTACGGCATGAGATCGCCAGAGTAGCAAAATGTGTGGACAACATTTTCTTTAAGACTAAAAAAACTTCAAATGCAACTCATCTATGGGAAGATACAAATTGCCATCAGAGAAATACAAACACACAAGACAAAGAAATTCACAGCTGGAGATCTTAAAAGAGAAGGTGCTATATCCAATCTTTTACATCTGGATGAAGGCTACAGAGTGCTCCGATCTATTAGGGGATCACCACCTTACTTTGAAAAAGCAAAAAGGATCTTTTGCTATGATCAGATTCCTTGGCCCAGCTACATTCTTCATGAGTTTTTCAGCAGCAGAACTAGATGGGCTCACCTTTTGAAAATTCTGTCTAAAACTGTTGATGGAAAGAGTTGAGTGATGATGATGGCAGAAGCTCTGACTTGGCAAGACAAGTGCTATCTAATACAAAGTGACTCTGTGACATGCTCCAGGCATTTTCATCATTCAGTTCAGTGCCTCCTCAAGTTTTTGCGCAGTGACCTATATCCTCTAGGGCGGACCTCTTAAGGACTACTTCTACGGGTGGAATACCAGCATCATTGGCTCCACACATTCACATGTTGGTGTGGGTGGATGGTGCTCCCGGTATGAACAAA